GTCTATCTGACTACAGTATATATAAAACTATCAAAATGAACTAGCAATATAAAGTAGGTACAGCAATACAATACTGTAGGGCAAGAAGATGGTAGGGAAGAAAGGAAAACTAAAGGAAAAAAAAAAAAAAAGAAAGGGACCAACGATCAGTCACTCAATACCTGACCCTTACCCCCATCTCTCTACCACAATTGGCTCGCTCGCACACAAGTCCACTCGTATCCTACATGCTGTACACGGAAAAAAAAAAAATAGCAAGCAAGCAGGTGATACGGTGTGTCTGCGGAGTTTTTTATCTTTATTTTTATTAAACTTTTCTTTTCTCTTAACGTATCATACTATATTTTCCTTCCTCCATTAGGCGAGGGGCGAGAAGGAGGCAAAAAAAAAAAAAAGGTGAATTATCCAATCGCGTCTCAATGGTTCATCGAACGAATCGGATGAACCTTCTGCGGTGGTGATGATGACGATGAACAAGAAGCCATAAGTGATGGTCTGTGTGATGGATGGACAAACAGGGAGGGGAGGAAGGGGAGGGGAGTTTTGGGCGAACGGTGGTTGGTAAGTAAGTAGAGTTGAGTGACTGGCGCCCTATGACTGAACAGCTCTTACGAAATGCCAGTCGAGCAGAGCAAAGTACTATATGGTACATGGCGGAACCACCGATTGATTGACGAGCGAGAGAAGTGACAGTATGGTAAGTGAGCGAGTGAGTGGCAGACTGGTCGAATCAGGACTGCGGTATCCACAGCACGTTTCATTCCTTTACTTTGTTGGCCAAGGTACTGGTTCAGGTGAGCTCAGGATTAAGCTTAAGTTTGAGAAATACGATGGATCGTGCCGTTTTGTGGATTAAAAAGCATAAAGAGCTTGCTCCGTAGAGGGCGAGCAGGAGAACGCACCTGCCAGCAAATGTGATGGGAGCCATTGAGAAAGCAGAGATAGAGATGGTGAATTGATGGATGAGTGAATGAAAGATGGAAAGGAAGGAAGACTTTCCAGAGCGTTCAGTTTGTTAATCTCCCCTTGGTGTTTTGAAAAAAAACGGTGGCGCCTTCCCCCTTCCCACCTCACTTCCTTTCCCCCCGGGTTTTTTCAAACCCCCCCTCCCCGCCTATACCCCTGAACCCTTTATAAAATTTGGCGCCCTGGCTCCTTGGTTCACTAGTTGGCCTCCTGTTCCCCCAAAATTTCCCCCTCCTGATTTCTCGACCCCCCTTTTAATCCTTTTAATATTTTAAAATTACCGGCCCCCCCGTTTGCTCCCCTGCCTTTTGATTCCGGTTAATTCCTTAAGGCACCCCCCCCCCCCTTTCACCCAACAAAACCCTTCCTTTTTTTCCCCTCCCCTCCATCCCTCCACCCCATGGTTCTTTAAACCCCTTCCACCCACCCCATCCATCCATCCACCCTTTTTTTCCGGCTACCATCCTTTCACCCTTTTCCTCATAAATTGCTTCCCCTTTCTTTGCCCCCTTTTTTCTTGCCCCCCCCCCCCTTCTCTCCTTCTTTCCCTTTCCTTTCAGACCCACCCCGCTTTCACTTTCGCTCTCACCTTCGTTACCTTACCTCACATTACCTATCATACATATCCCGCTTAGTTATTTTTCTCAATCCACTCCTTTTTTATTTTTATCCATCCATCATCTTCACCATCGCAACCGATAGGGATCAGAGGGGGGGGAGCTTAATCCTTTTTTGAAATTTCAATTAGGGTATATCATTTCCACCCATCTATCCAACCCACCGACGGGATGCTAATTGCTATGATACCTGCATGTGCAACACGGTATGTACCTACGTACCCACTTACTCAGTATGTGAGCCATCCCTTTCCCATGGTGAGGGTGGTGATACCGTGTGTGCGGTGTGCGGTGCGGTGTGTCAGTCGACATGTATGATACTCGGGGGGGGTGCAGTAAAACTCGGAAAACTATTTCTGTTGATCCCATACGAATCTCTATGGAGGCATGGATTGTGTTTTCCGATTTTTATTTTTACTGGCACTTCTGGGCACTGTACTGTACTGTACGAGTACATTCGATTATGGGAGGAGGATGGATAGATGGGTGGATAGATGGATGGAGGGGGTTGGAAGAGAGAAAAAAGGTAAACCCGCACAATCTTTTTGGCCAATTACGAATACATTTTTGCTATATATTTCATGTGCTATGGCATTTATTACAATATTATATTCCCCTTGTTCCTTTTCCTTTTCTTTTTTCCCTTAATTGTTTTCTTTTACACTCCTCCCTCCTTAAATATTTACCCATTCCGTCCTCTTCTCCTCATCTCTTACTCAATCCTGAATGGCACAAGGGTAAAAAATTTGGGGGGGGGGAAAGGACTAAAAGAGAGAATTGGTAAGTAAGCGGAAAAAGGAAAAGAAAAGAAAAAAAGGCTTTCCCATAGCCCACCACCACTCCACACCCCCAATTGTCTCACAAGCATTCAGCAAGTCTCACATGAGACTGAGGAGCCCGAATAAAGGATACCAATCCAAATCCTTGGCATGCAACTAATGCTGGAATTGGGCCCTTCTATAAGACCTTCTAGAAGCTCCAAGGGGTAGTCTCCATCTTCTTTTGACTACATTCAAAGGTACTTTACAGAAGTACCTCACTGCATATCCCATCGAAACTCGAAAAGAAAATTAGGTCCAGGTGAAAAAAAAAAAACCCCCCATTTCAATGAAAAGCCTTTCCACTATCTCGAAAAAGCACAAACACAGCAAAAGCACTCACAACCGCATTCATGGCCAACAAGCACCACACTCAATTGCAAAGGTGGTGGGTAGGAGTGGGGGGTAGGGCGGTAGGGGGAGGAAAGGGAAACGAGTCCGTAGCGAAGGAGGGGGTGACTGAAAATCAATCTCAAATAAATCAACAGCGTTGTTTATTCTGCGTTATGTGCCAAAAATAAAGGAAACAGTACGTGCGTATCAAGAAATGGAGGGGTCGGGGGACGGGGCGCAAAAAAGTAATGACTGAACAATAACAGAAGAAAATCGGACGCTATGGAGTTAGCGTAGGACAGTTGGGTCTTTCCCACCACAGCATGCTTCGTCTGCAGCTTCCCCCAAGAGCCAGCCTAACCCTTCAGTCACTCCCCTCCCCTCCTTCTCTTCCTTGACGAGCACACCAAAGTAAATGCCGCGCTTAAAGTTCTCCAAAATCCCGAGAACTTCAGTGGAATGCCTCGACTGCTGCCTTGATTTCACTGCCCCCCCCCCTCCGTTACTGCTGTGCAACTCTCATCACACCTCCATGGCAGTACTGCCTTTCACCGGGAAGTCCAGAGTTATGTCTTTGGAAGCTGCCGTGTCGCCCACAAAAGTAAAAAGCACAACCTTCTGCGAACAAAGTCCCACTTTGATCATTGTTCCCTTTGCCACCCGGATAGCAGCTCTGGGCTCCAATTCAATTGGGGTAAATCAATGTCACCTCCATGGACAATCTTCGCTGAACAAAAGCTGCTCTGATGCAATTAACTGTAATCTGCTCGAGCCGGTTTCCCTCCAGACATTATGGCCACCGCCTCCCAAAACCCAAAGACGTAACCTCGAGCCCCCAGCAATAGGTAAGAGCACATTAACTGCGGCTCTTACCTCTGAAAAGATGGCCATACCCTGTTTGCCACGTCAGTATGGGTAAACTCTCGATCCTAGCGCCCGGGGTCCGTTTGCGCGAAGGAGGGGGGGGGCAATGGGACAAGCAAAAAAATGATGGGCGGAAAGATCTATACGAGTCATTTCATGCAACGCTTTCCTTATCTGAGCACTCTGGAAGAACAGGACACGGAAAAGGTAAAGCCGCCGGGCCATGATGCTGGGAAGGCAAGGCTTCAAGGAGGGGTGCAGGAGAATGACAATCAGCTGAACGTTGCGAGACCCAAAATAAGATGCAAGTCTTTTGTGGAAACCAATCCGAATTGCCAATCCAGTACCTCCCCAAATTAAAGACCGAGGCGGCTACGGTCTTGTGACTGGAGCTGCAGCATATACACCACCCGGGCGGACGGATAGTTGAAGCGCTATTGCTGAGCAAGAAAAACTCGAAACAAAACAAATCCGGCTGCAGTTCAGGCCTAATGAAGCGAAAAGGCTGAGATAAGACCCCGGCGAGCCCGGATGGCAAGGCTTTAGCTGAGAGATGGGTGTGGGGCCATAGGGATAGAATGAGGCGAACGGAACCGGTGTTGGAGGAGAGGGGTTGGTGAGGGGTTTGAAGTGTCTGATTTTCCTGGTTATGTTGTGTTGGTGTACTGATTTGGAGCAATCGAGGGCACGATCGTCTTTGAAAGCCGGACCTTTGGCGTAAAAAGAAACCTACAATTCATGCGTTGAGTTTCGTCAAAAGAACCCTAGTCCTGGCGAAAGTCAACCCCAAGATACTCCTCCGCATCCCTGTTGATATATCTCGTGCCACTGACTGAGCGGAAATCCGTGTCATCCCGAAAATAACCACCATTCAGCAAGCACTCAATGCATTGTCCCCACACTGTCTGCAACCTCGTCCCGTTCATCACATACACGTGATGAGAAGAGCAAGCTTGCAACCCAATCTATGAGCTTCTGCAAACAAGGGTGGTGAGCAGGAGCAATGAGAAACGACAACACTGCGGAGCATCTGATTTAGTAGGGCGGGGCGAGTGAGACAGGGTGAGGGCAGAACCAGGAGGTGCATGGTCCAGCGTCTCCGTGAGGGGTTAAACGGGGAGATAGGAGATAGTTGGCGGAACGATCGAATAGGAGGACGAGCTTCTGTTTCTGGGGGGCAAATAATGAGTGTGAAGGCGAGACGCCTTCAATTGATGGAGGTGTAGAGATGGTGTGGGAGTGTGGGAGCAGGGGTCGAGAACTAGGGAGAACGGTAATCGTTGTGATTGTGTGCCTCCGTTATGCTTTACAGCTGTGTGTTGTTCACGAGAGGCGGTTGGGGATGCCAATGGGCTGACTAGTGTGACCGGAAATAGTTGAACTTTCTGTGACTGTTGGTGGTATCAGAATTATCATCCCGAGAGAGAGGAGGGGTTGTGATATAGATGCGTATCAACAGCATCTCTAACATAAATACCCCCCCTCCGAATCACCCCAATTGCATCTCCATCACCATCCACATCCTCACTCTCATCTTCGCAACCGTCTTCACAATCATCTTCACAATCACCTTCGCAATCATCTTCGCGGTCGTCCTGATCCCCATCGCTCCCCCCTCCTCACAGCACCCATTCTCCTCTCTGCCCTCCGAAGAAAGGCAAACAAGCATCTAGGCTTGCCTTCCAAACATCAATTGCTTCCATAGCCGCCATTGAGCAATCTCCAAGCTCGAGTCTAAAACATACCCCGCCTTCTCCAGACCCTACTTCCCTCCTCCACGGAACACCATCCGACCATCTGAAACATTGAAATAAACATGTGTTTCTATGACCAACAAATCTTTGTTTGCGGCGACCACAAGTGGGGACGATTCCGAGCCCACTGCAACAAGGAATACCGAACGGGCGAGACCTGTGGCATGAAATTGATTTTCGAAGCGTCTCGCGTCGCCAGCAAGTGTCAGATGTGCAAGAAGTACGAAGTGACATGGAGGAAGATCGCCCAGGCCAAGGAGCGAGTGGCCCGGTGGGAAGCCGAAGGCATCAACCCCGTGTCGACTGATAAGGAAAAGGTTAACATCGTTGCTTGGCAGAAGGAGCTGAAGGAAATTGAGATGCAAAGGCAAAGCCGGATGCGAACGGTATGAGTTTGAATGGTATTGGCGCTTGGTAACGGTCATTTTGTTTGAGCCTGTCCTGGTGTTTTGTTTTATTTCTAATTGTGTTTTTCCTACCATTTCCATTCTTTTCGTGTTTTGATTATTCGGGTTTCCTTGTTGTTCTGGGGTGATGGATGGATATTGATAGGAAAGAGGTATGAAGTGAGGTTAGTCGCGGGATCCGCCCAGGGTACGGGAGTGGGGGTCGGCAAGGGGGGCGAAATGTTCCGAAAGCGTGGGGATCCAAAAACAGATCATGCCTGTCATCTCTCATTTGTTTTGTTTTTGTTTTATTTGTTTTTTTCGGAATTTTTTTTTCATATCAAATCTTGCCTTCTTTTCTGCAAGCAGATACCACTTTGCCGATAACTCAATCGATTGAGTGTTTTCACCATACAGCCGCGCTGCTAATGGAGTTGAGACTGGTTTGATGTTTAGTGTTTTTTTGTCTTTCGCTCTGGCATCGATTGCGGCTGGGAAAGTTGCTTTTTTCGGAAACCCGCCCAAAAATAGAACCAAGCGACAGATGACACAAGACTATTGTCTGGCGGCGATCTTTTTGAGGCTCTGCCAAAGGAATCAGATCAAGAAACGACTTCAAAACAAAAGGACTTAAAAGTAGAGTAGAGAGCGGGCGTGTAAATCGTATGCCAAATAGTCCCACCCAGACCGCCCATACCCCCCTCTCCTCGGCCATCGTGATGGAGAGGGAAAGAGGAAAAAGCCCGCTCCCCCCGTCTGCCTTATCCCCTCTTTCCACAGCTACCCCCTTCCATCTTCCCAGATTCCTACCCGAAGCGCCCGCCCAAGTAAATAGATAGCGATGAATAGTCGGCAATAATAGATATCCATCTTGTCTTGTTTCTCCCCTCCCTTTTTTCCCTCCTCCTCCCCACTTTTCCCGGCCCCACAGGGTGTTGAAAACTCAAAAGGACCACCGATAGTCTCCGTTAGCAAAGGGGCTCTTGGTGGTGATTCTAGGATAAGAAGAGAACGGAGGGTTGTTGAGCGAACAAGCAAAGCGGGGTTTAGGACTGAGTTGGCAGCCCCCCAGCCTGTGACTACCGGCGGCAGCTGGTTAGCTGAACGCGTTCACCCACAGAGTCCGGCATTCTGTGCTGTAATCGTCCTGCCGCTACCGTCTTGTCGATGGGCGAAAGTGTTCGAATAACGTCCAAGACCGCAGCCTCTGCTAGACAAAAAAATAACACTGGATGGGAAGAAGAGGAGAGAGGACATAATCCAGTTGGTGTGGGCAAACTAAGTGGAGTGGAACACCACAGTAAATACGGCCCTCCCGAGTTCCCGCTGGAAGAGGCGCCAGAGTTGTTCTGCTGACAAGAGGCAGAGGTGAGAGAGTGGGGTAGAAGCAAGCAACCAGCCAGCCACAGCGAACAACCAACGCCTAACCAACCCAACATCATAATAATCTCATCAAGATGCAACCCTCAAAAGCAAAAACCGTCATACTGGCAATCACGGGAAAATCGAGCAAATGGAAGGAGGGATAACATAAAATAAAATAAAATAAAACGAAATACCTCCGGAGTTCATCGTTCATCCGGATCTCCTCCTCTACTTATGTTATCCTTTCTCCTCCTTCCTTCCCCCTCCCCCCTCCAACCCCCTAAATCTTCCCCTATCTTGCCAACGCATTCCCTCAGTGCATTTTTTGCTAATCCGTTGCGTCCAGAGAGAGGTCCTGGGGAACGTGGCAGCTGCTTTAGCTACCGCATGAAACGGGCCTCCAAACAACAACAGCAAACGCAGCAAAAACCACCGCTCACCAGCCCTTCAGTGCCACAGCTTCATCAACATACCCCAGACATGAAATTCCAAAAGTGGACGTCCTCCCTGCCAAATTCTGAAGCGAAAGGATGATCATCCCATGAAGAAATACTATCTCAATCGTCCGTTCCGGCACCCGTCATACCTGTCAGGATGCACGCGACCTCTTCGAGCGATTTCAACAAACCTGTTCTCGAGCTCCCATTGGCTGCATCGTTGGCAAGAGCCTATTTTTTCCTCCATCGCTATTTAACATGGTCAGCTAATGCGTGTTTCGCTTCATGAATATACTGCTTCGCATATTTACCCCCACATATGGGTGAGGGGAAAGGAGAGGAACTGTTGGTTGCAGAATGTTAAAAATGGTTGTCGTGATATGGGGCACCGCTCTCGTGCTGAAAAGTACACGCAGACTGAGCCGAGTGCTCGATTGTGTACCTGCAGATCGTGTGAACCCATTTAGTATGTCTGGAATATAAGCTCCGGAGTTTCTGAAGTTCCGGCCTATTATGGCAATATCGAGCCATCCATTGACGGCAACTGCGAGAACTGTTTCCTATTCTAGGTTCGAGCCGTCTGTCTACAGCTTATCTGAGCATCACTGTCCCAACCCCCCCGTTTTCTCCCCTAAGCTGCAATGCAAAGCGAGGCAAGTGCCGGCCAACAATTATTTGCGTCTGCCTCTAGAGATCGGTAATCTGCTCAAGTATGATACGCTTTCCCATCACGGTTGCAAGATGTTGATCGTGATGCGGGCCGGGCAGTTTGAGGGTGGGCTGCGACTTTGAGTGCCCCCGCTAGTTTCATCAGTACAGGTACTTTAAAAGTTGATGAAATTGACTGGCTCCGTCCCAGGATCTTTTCACTCCGGGCCAGTTAGAATGTAGCTTGGCACTCTGCTTGGCAGAGTGATGTCTCATGAAGATACCTCAAGGCTTAAGTATGATACTATGAAAAGAATGAAGTCTATTTTTTCACTCTCCTCCCCTTAAGTACTTATTGAGTACTTTATAATCAGTTGGTATAACTAAACATTGTGATTAGACTAAAAGAGAAAAAGTTAGACCCGATTATAATTGTGAAACTTTAGAATATGAGTGAAAACTAATATAAATAAATAGTACTCAAAGAAGGAATACAGAACTTTTTTTTTTTTTTTTTTTTTGATCCATTTAAACTATTTACATATATACAAAACAACTTGTACTAGACTTACTAGTATTTTCTTATTTTATTCCTTATCGTTCTATTTAATTCAAAATAGTCTAAACTCTATTAATATTATAAGAACAACTAAAGTATGATATAATTAATACTTAAAAAAAAAAAAAAAAGTTTTATGTATTTAAAGAAGTATTATTATAAAATTTAATAAATCTGCCAAGTTATTAAACAAAACTACTGCTTAAAAGAACTATTTGTCTAGGAGTAGTAATGGAAAGTAGTATGATAAGTTATCTTCAGTTAAATCACAACTAGTTAATTACTGATTTTTTTGTTATTTTCTAAAACTTACTTATATATAGTATATTAGTATTTCTACCTGATTTCTGGACTTCAGTGATAAGGTTAAGCCTACCTCTTATATCTTCTTGATAATAATTCTTAAACCAATCTTATATTTTTTTTCAAGTATTCTTCAAACTGGTTATTATACTCCGTATTAGTATATACAACTATGAACATTTTCATTAAATTTTTTCTTCTTCTAGCCCTTAACCCTTTTCCACCCATTCCATAAATCTGTCATAATAATAATATTGTAATTCATTATTATTATAAGGGAGCACTTTTGCATTATACAAAGGCGAGATATCCGAGTCCACAAACTATTTTTGCCCATCCTCTATCTTCATAAATCGAAATATCTTTTACGTGCCCTCTTAATCCTGAGATGTTGTATGGAGGAGTCACACGAGTACGTGCTTGGATTATTGAATGCGTTTTCACGAACTTTGACATCATAACGGTAGGCCCCACCTGTCGCCATGACCGAAGCGCGGTTACAATCCCTGCGACATCCGCGGGGGGGGGGTAAAGATTGGGGGGAGGAGGGGACCGACTTTTAGATTTTGGGGTTAGCCTGAACTTCACTCGATCGCAACCAACACCGCGATGAGAAAAGAGAGCCAGGACAGAGATTTTCACACAGGGTCCACCGTCGGAAACCTCCACATCACGAATTTCTAAACCCTCAATCATCGGCCCCAGCTTCCGAAGGCAGGACCCCCCCCCCCCCAAGAAGACCCTTGGGGGAGATGTTTTCGGTTCTTGGCTCAAAGCATCTGCTACATCCTCGGCGCCTCCGGCAAAGTTCATCGGTTCAACTACCGTCCCCACCAATAATGAAGCAGCGTAGCAATGTAAGCATCCTGGTAGAGCTGATTACTTGTACTGTACAGGTACAGTACGAGTACATTAAACGAATAGTAGTTCCGGTCTCCGCCAAGAACTGCAATTTCCCGCTTGGGAAGTAGGTTTTAACAACCGCTCGGGAAGACCTCTACTTGAGTACTGGCGCGTGCCATCAGATCACCAATAGGTAGTCTAGTCTGGGGTAGTCCTAGGAAGGAGGAGGGGGAGAAGAAATATTATCGAGTTAGTCGAGTACAAGTACTTAGAGAGTAGACTGTTCTTGATACTACGGCATAGTACACCACGGATTGTGGAAAGGAACCGAGCTCCCATCCACCAAACTCAACCAAGTAATCCTAACCAGAGGCTATGATATGCCTCATCTCTTGGTTTTCGTACTGTACAGGGCTGTAATTCCTCCCCCATACGGATAAATCCTTTTCGCTCTGGCCATCTATTGCGGTCTCCTTGTAGCCCCGCCACTCCCAGACCAACCAGTATTCCAAACAGTCTGTCTATTCTGGTAGGATCTTGCCAGAAATAGTTTGTCAACGAGGGCGGCATGAGTGCCTTATGTCTTTTCCCTCTCTCGACAGGTAAAATCCCTGGCGCTGCTATGAGCGAACAGAGTAACTTTGGTATAAAGACAATATCAAAGAAGGGAATCGAGATACGCTGATGACAAAAGTATCATATATATCTGAGAAGCAAAGAGCTCCACCTATCCAAGATCTGTGCGTTCCATGGCACTCTAATAGAAAGAACTCCCTCCTCACTTTCAGTCAGCATCCATGCTCTTCTTGGTCGGGTTCTGAAAACTTTGCAGAACTCTCACGCTCGCTTCTATTGTCTACCAACCCGTCTTGTGGTGTGAGCCCTGAGAAAAGTAGAGAATTGGTATACTTCGCCCCGTAGATTGTATACATTCGAATACTACCGCGTACTAGTACTGTGCTGTACTGTGCTGTGTTTTGCCATCCATACGCTCTCCCCTCGCTCCACAGGCTTCATCCTTGCGTAATTAATCCCGTCCTCGTATGCCCTCATCCAGTACCGTATCGTATACTCTATGCGGCAAGGGGTTTGAACATGGAAGATAGCGAGCGAGCCACAATAACTTTCAATACCTTCCCCTCCCCGGTGCTCGCTCGATCGTCGACCGGTTCCTACGCCTTTTTCCCGGCATGCGCGCTTGATGGACACATTCTGAGGGTGTCGACGTGATTTCAGGAAGACATCTGGTATCGTGTTGCGTGTTGTGAAGTACGGTAGGCAATGGTAGTGCATTCTTTGCTATTGTTATTCTTACAAACATGCCCCATCCGTCTTGCGGGGTGTGGTGGGTATGAAGATGGCTAACATATCGGGATATGATTGGGAGGGCCTATTTATCTGCCGGGTCACTAAGAGTGGTCTAGGCAATTGAAACCCGGGAGAAAATGAGTATCTCCATTAAGAGAGGTTTGCTCAGCGAAATTTGTATCCAAAGAAGATGCCTGTTTACTCGTTTTTGACTTACAGCACGATACCATACTCCCCGTAACGAGCAGTACGGAAAAATGCGGCTAAGAGCACGGCGATGCCTTACCGGTGTGGGTTGCTTCGGCTAGCAAGCGCAAGCGACCATCTGAGACGGGGTTTTATTTCGCCGGCTGGGCAGTCGGATAATAATAGCCGTATGCCGAGATACTAATCACCAGATACAAGCACCTTTTGCCTGTGTCTAATCCATCTAAAGGGCGAGAACCGAGCCGGCTATTGTAGAGTGAGGTTCTTAGTTCGGCCCCAACGGGCACGGAGCCCGGTGGGGGTTGCGTTGCCGGAAAACCGGGCAATCCAACTATCGGATAAACAACAGATCCGAACCGGAATAGGATTAGCTGGGCAAGCTAAACAAATTTACGAGTACTGTACTGTACTCGTACAGTACTCGTATGATGCCGGTACCAGTTAACGAGATTAAGGAAGTTCAGCTCGCTCAAGGGTCAGGTAAACGTTACTCTTTCTCCAGGTGTTTCCCCTCTGACTGCGGAGACTAGAGGCCTGACGGGTATTTACCATCTCCTCCAGGAACTGCACTGTATGCGGGATTTCGCCTAGCCTGCACCTAACATCTACGTTATTGTACTCGTACACACCGGTACTATAATGTGTATGGCACCACGAATACAGCAAGCTATGGATCGGAGGGATACGGAGGTGAAAAACACAAAATTCTAGATCCATGTTTCAAAAGTTCACACCAAAAACAATGCTAAAAAAGGCCTCCTAGGGACAC